AGGGTCCCCGGGCGGCACGGCCTGTGCATAGGGGTTTTAGGGTCCCCGGGCAGCATGGCCTGTGTGTGCCTCACTCTTCTGCACCCACTCTTCTGGGCAGGGGCATGGAGGGTACGGAGACGTGCTGGTGCCAGGGCAGAGGTCTCACGGGCACTGGAGGCAGAGGAGGCCTGGCCCCAGGCTCTCTGGGTCCCTCCTCACTGCACTGCCTCAGGGCCTGGCCCTTCCAGAACACCCTGCACACTGATTTGCAAATGCAGGGTACCCTTTGCTGTGATGTCTGTAAGCAGTCACCTCTCATCACTATCACATGGGAAGAACGCAGCCCCCCAGCAGCCCCCTCCTTGCTTCCTGCTGCTGGACTGGCTGCCCCGGTGCTGGGGAGCGGGGATCGAGGCTGGTGTCAACCCTCTCACACCAGGCAGGCCAGGACCGCAGGGAGCAAAGTTGTGGGGAGCACTCCCTCAACACCCCACTTTCATTGCAAACCCTGTGTCTACATCTGTTTTCCTTTGGCGACTGAAAGGCGGTTGGCAGAGGCCCCTCCATGTGCTGCCAACGCTGCATTCACACAGGACTCACCCAAGAACAGGCAGGAATCTGCTCTCCACATTCAAGCAGCTTCTCCCTCCCACCCTGATGTGGTTGGAGTCCCAGAGAGCCCAGCAGGAGATGTGCCTGCCCTTATGTCCACCCCAACCCGTGAGTCTGAGGAATGTACGGGAGATTCCCAACCTTCCCCAGCAGGAGGTGCTGGTGGACACCTCTGCCCGCATGCTGTGCTCAGCCTACTTCAAAACGACTTTCCTGGGCCATTCAGTGTCCTTCACTCTGCCACCTGGCTGGGCGGAAACACGCAAATAGGGTGTGTCTGTCTATCCATGAGGGGACCGGCCAGTTTGCCATTTCCACCAGGTGTGAGTGGAGCAGGTTCAGCGGTAGAAATTAGGAATCTTGGGACCAGCAAGGTAGAGGAGTGAAGGCAGGGAGCATCCTTCCTGTGTCATCTCAGACCAGGGCCCACGTGAGAACAGCGGCGGCTGCAGCGGAGACCCAGCGGCCTGAAGCGAGGTAGAGCTAATCTGGGACTGACGCCCACGGAGCCGGAATGAGGTGTCTTCGCCCAAGCTGGAGGCCCGGGGCAGGGAGATGCCAGGGACTGCTGCCCACGGAGCCGGAATGAGGGGTCTTCGCCCAAGCCGGAGGCCCGGGGCAGGAAGACACCATAACTGGCAGGACTAAAGGAGCCTTGGTGGTTGAGGGGGTGAGAAGTTGTGCTGAAATCCTGAAGGCATGTGGTTCGAAGCCACCATCTGCTCCACAGGAGGACGGACAATCTCCTCCCGTGTGATTAACTGCCTCTGAAAACCGCCAGAGGTTCAGCTATGGGTCGGTTCTGACTCTACGTTACACAACAAGAGAAGTCTGGTGTCACGGTGGTGAGACGCTTTGCTGTTAATCCCACAGGAATATGGCTTGACTCTCCCAGCTGCTCCATGGGAGAAAGACGGGCCACGTCCACTGGCTCTGAAAACCCCCTGGACGGTCAGCTATGGGTCGGTTCTGACTCAATGGCGCACGGAAACAAGAGTGTTTTGTAAAGCTGAAATGCTGGAGGGCATGAAACCAGATTTTAGAAGCTGTCCTGACTAAAATACTGTATCCTGTTATCAGTCTGAGTTGTAACCTGTTAGCTTCTTTAACACATTGCCACACACTTTTAAATTGACGACCGTGCTTACAAACACATTTCCCCCCAATGTATTACCGTCATTTGAGGCAATGTGCTAATAAAGCCATAATCACACACATGCTTCCTTGAGGTCTGTAAGTTGTTGCAGGGGATTTGGGACCCGGCAGAGCAGTAAGCTTGGTGCTGAGATGATTAGTCGGGAGTGCGGGAGCCTGGGGGACATCTGACCTTGTGGGAACTGGTTTTGTGTTATGGATGGTGTTGATGGGGACAGTCCCCCTGTGTGGAGTCAGTAGGGGTCAAAGTACAGCTGTGTCCACGTCGCCCACTCTTTCTATAGTCAGTCAGTTACAGCCTGGTGGCCTTACAGGTTGACATGCCTTACACACATCTATCAGGACATAAGAGCTGACCGTAAGCTGGGCCTGAGCGTCTCCAAGCCTCAGTGCCCCCTCTGTGAAGCAGTCAGCATGAGCACTGAGTTCCTGGGGTCGCTGTGAGGATGAGGTGAGCTCACGCGCACACATCTCTGGAAGTCGCTGGCAGAGGGAGACGCAGGGTCTAGGTAATCACGATGCTGCCCTTCTATTATTACCGAGGCCAAGAGTGATGCGTGTGGCCCGACAGCTTCCTGTCATCACCCAGGCGCACACAGTCTCCTTCTGCATGACGGTCACACACACGTCTTCACCGTGGAAGGGAAAACAGGGCCCTCTCTCCCACCTCAGGCTGTTTCAGCAGGCGTGCAGATGAAAGTGAGGCCTAGGGTCTCCCCATGTCAAACCCCCATTTACAGGAGGTCCCAGCTGAGCCCCGGCCTTCTCCCTGGCCGACTCCACAAGCCCACAGAGCCACCAGCACCCCGCACACACGCAGGGCACTGCCCGGGATGGACTCACCTCCAGGACTGTCCACTGCTCCACCACAATGGCATCATAACCCTGCACGGTCTTGTTGTCCTCAGTGGACACGGCTTCGAAGATGAAGACTCCATCTGTCAGGCCGTGGATGGAATCTGGAGGGGAAAAGTCAAAGGTGTGGGTGGGCGGTGGTCCACAGACTGTCTGCGGCAAGAGCCGTGTGAGCGCACGAATTCTGCTGTCTTCATTAATAACCCCAATCAGAGCATCTTTTCAGTGTGTTAATTAAAGAAGGCATACACAGCCATGGAGTCTAGCCCCATCAGAATGAATGAGACTAATTTACCTCGCAGTTTTGAATAATATCCTTGATTTTACGAGCCCAAATTTCATTGTTAGCAATCACCATCTGATTTCACATGTCTACGTTCCTCTTCACGCTCCGGCACCAGCATCCACGGGGGAGAACGTATTCAGGGAGAGCAGGGATGTGCAAAGACAGTTGCGGGTTTGTGCAAGTATTTTTTAAAGGAGAAAACGCTATTTAGGTGAGAATTGATGGTGTTTTTGTTTGTTTCTTGAAGGATAATGCCAGAGCTGAGCTTGTCAGAAGCTTCCAGAGGCACTGGTTCTGGGGAGTTGGCAGGATGTGAGAAGCTGTACAGACCAAGTGTTTGTCAAGAGGTGGAATTTGGGGACGGGAAATTTTTGCAAATGATTTACCAGAGAAAAACCTTCCTTAAGCATTCCTCTACTCACAGGAGGGGTTCCAAGTTCCATGGTATTTAACAAACGTGTATTAAACATACACCATCACAGAAGAAAGCCACTGAACTTTGGTGGCCTGGTGGTAAGGAGTTGTGCTGCCAGTTCAAAGGCAGGAGGTTCTAACCCAGCAGCTACTCTTTGGGAGAAAAATGAGCCATTTCCTCTGTGATTTACAGCCTTCAAAGCCCCCCCACCCCAAGAAGCTCGGCTTTGAGTCAGTTCTGAGTCACCGCACAGAACGACGCATGAAGACCTGTCCCAGGCAATATGGTGCAAAGAAAAAATGCAGGGTCCCTGACCCTGGAGAAGGCTTGAAGAGAGGCCTGTCTGGCCTTTTGTTAATGCCTGGGCAGTGTCCTGACTGTCTCATGGGGCAGTGGACTGGACTTAGAGGCAGCTGAGTTGGGCCCAGGCTCTGTCCCGAAAAGGAATGAGGTCTTTATCAAGGGCTGGACGACTCATGTGTCAAGTGAGGTCCTGGACAGCAGCTGGATGCTAGCCTACGAATCACGGAGCAATCATACCACACACGCTTAAATGTGGGCTTCGACACCACGTTTGTCCTGAAAGGATAATTAACATGACAGTCTGACCTGTCTTTGCGGGAGGGAAGACAAAATTGAAAAAGTTCTCACACTGGAGTTCCCAGAATTGCCTGAACTTCCCAGAAGTTACAGAGGAAAAGACTGATTGATCAAGGTGACTCTATATCAACTGTTATCATCTGTCTTCCGATGGACCCATAAACAAAATGAAAGGCCATCAATAAAACGAGAAATTTACTTGTTACACAGAAATAAGACTAAGTATAATAAACAGAGTCACTATGAGTCACAGACGACTTGATGGCACATAAAAATAATCTTCTTTAGATATCAATTCTTTACAAATAGTTAAAACTGCAAAAATAATATCAGAAATGGGCAAAGGACAAGAATTGGCAATTTGTTTTCTCTCTCACATACATACATCTTCAAGAAGATGGTCAGTACACAAGATGGGGGGAAAGGTCCTCTCCTTGACGCTCATCAAATTGTCAGATTTTGAAAGAAACTAATCTCTGATAACAGGAATATGATGACGTGTTGTTGTCATGGGCTTACAAGTCGACTTTAACTCACAGTGACCCTGTACACAATAGGTGAGCCCTGTCTTTCACAGTGACCCTGTCCACAATAGCTCTGACCCCCGTCCTCACAGTGACCCTGTACACAATAGCTGAGCCCTGTCCTCTGACCCCGTACACAACAGCTCTGACCCGTCTTTCACAGTGACCCTGTACACAATAGCTCTGACCCCTGTCCTCACAGTGACCCTGTGTACAACAGCTCTGACCCCTGTCCTTCACAGTGACCCTGTACACAATAGCTCTGACCCCTATCCTCACAGTGACCCTGTGCACAATAGCTGAGCCCTGTCCTTCACAGTGACCCTGTGCCCAACAGCTCTGACCCATCCTTCACAGTGACCCTGTGCCCAGTGGCTCTGAACACTGCCCTATCCTGACCCGACCTCACTGTCCGACACTCCTGCCCCCATTACCACAGTCTCTGTGTCAATCTGTCTCATACAGGGTCTTCCTCTCCTGTGCTGACTCTACCCCTATGGCGAAAGGACAGCTTAAAATGTGTAAGATTTTAATTGCACACACTTTCTGAAAAGCAATTTAACAGTGTCTTAAGGGTCTGTAATACAAAAGCCACGCAGTTAGCCCCAGAAATCTACGTCTTCATCAGGACTGAGATAGTGATGACCGTGCCACCAAACACTTACCTACGAGCAAGCCTTAAAAAAATGCCTTTACTGAGCTATAACATCAGTAATTAAAATATTTAACCACAGAAGAAAAGTTAAATAAACTAGAAGATTTCTGTAAATTATGTATTACATGATCCCTGAAAAATCACAGGACTTTAGTGACACAGGAAAGTGTTTTGAGGGGTGAAAAACCCCCATAATATGCTGGAGAAAATACCCCCAACAGCCAGAACATGAAAGCACATTATGAACCGCACATGGGTTTTCATGTTAATAAAGTGAAGAACACAGACCTTACGGAAATATACAACGTGTGAGCCTCGGCTCTAAGAGGTGGAATGACACATGAATGAACTTTTGCTGTATTATATCCTGCAAGGCTAATGTCCCTAATACAGGCTTAGTGCAAACAGATGACAGAGAGGAAGACTTTTCTCCTCTTTTCTACGTGTCTCTTTAAGGCAGAATCAGACGATTTTCGGAGCTATGAAGGTCAGAGTTGGCCTCACAGTGCAGGAACCTTTATCCTGTGGTTGTGAGGTGCCTTCAGGTGACTCACGGCAGCTATCAACACCACATCTGAACGCTGCCCCGTCCTGCCCATCTCTGATGCGCTCAAGCCCATGGGTCCGTCTTGTGGAGGGTCTTCCTATCTTTCTCTGGACCTGGAGGTCTCGAGTCAAGGCCTGCACACGGAGGGAGGGGCGGCCGAGGACCAGGTGAGCAGCAGGGTCAGGAGAAGAGCAGTCGAGTCAGCTGACTGTGGGGGCATCAGCTCTGTGGGGCTGGAGTTAAAGGTGTGTGACAGAACTCGGCTGGACCTCAGCAGTCACTCCTGGGAGAAAGTGCAGATGTGCGCTGCTGTCAGGATGTCCGGCCTCGGACAGCCTAGTGGGCACCTCTCCCCTCATAGAGGGTCTCTGTGAGCGGAAACCGGCTCGATGGCGGTGGGGGCTTTGGGTGGGAGATCAGCCAGCAAGCAGCCTGTACAGGGGACCCGTTCTGGTCACGGGGAGGCTGCCAGATGTGAAACAAGCAGAGCCTTAAAATGCATTGTGGGGCCGTGTCCATCTTCCGTAACTGCCATCGGCCTGAGAGGGACAAGCCCCATCTGTCCATTCGGTGTCACTGAGAGACTCACCTAGCAGAAGCGGCCCCAAGAAGCCCAGCTTAGATCAGCTGGCGCACAGACACGCACGTGACCGGGTGCCCCTGCCAACCTGTAGAAACGTGAGAACAAAGGAGGGATGTGTGAAGCCAGCACCTCCTGGAGCCACTAGTTACACAGGATGACGGGGCAGTAACTGACCTGTAGAACAGGACACACGGGGCTTGGGCTCTTCTCCTGCCTTGAAGGGCTTCGGGAAGTTCCGGAAAGACAAGCCTGGCTGTGGCTGTGAGCAAACAGCTGCTCACACCAGCCTCACCTGGGTGCCAGCCCCTCCTGATCGGTAAGGTAACGCCCTCCAAGCCAGGTCCCAGCAGGTACCAGGACCACACATTTCCCATTCCCTATTCCAAGTGTCATTAATGTACAGAAATGATGTTAGTCATAGAACAGAGTTCAGGTCTTTTGTGCAAAGCTTACTCAGTCATATTCGACTCGACAACACTTAACCACTGCTAAGTGAGACCAGTGCTATTATATCTGGAGGAACACTCCCCCACTTTGTACATCACTCTTTGTCAATGTGCTGTATGAGGTAACCTGGGTTTGCTGTGATGCTGAACCTTGTGCCATTGGGGTATCAAATACCAGAATTATTTTCCAGTGTGGACAGTGTTTGGTGGAGCTCCCAGTTGTAAAACAAGTTGGGAAGCAGGAGTGGCATCCACTTCCTAAACTACACGCCTCTGGAAACTGTATGAACTCGGAGAAACGACGATAGTTACGGAAAGGCATTAGGGCTTTTTCCATCGAGTCGCTATGAGTTGTGCTTGACGCGACACTATCAACAACATTCCAAGTGTTTATTCTCTGACAGCTTCTGCACGTGCCAAGCTTGCCTTGTTATGTGCTTTGTGGAAACGTCTCATCCCAGTGTTGGTCCAATGTTCCACAGAGGCAACCAGAGGAAAAGGATGCATCCCTTCATCTGAATCACGTAGTGGTGTTTAGCGGTCCAGTTCCCCTTAAAGCTTGTGGTAGTGGATTCAGCTCAGGCCCCTGTTGTAGGAGAGATGCCCGAGGCAGGCCTTCTGGGTAAAGCATTCTTAGTTCCGGACCTGGGCCTTCTGGGGCCAGACAACACTCTGTGACCTTTCAGAAGCATATCAACACAGCACACGTTTCTTCAAGCTCTTACACAACACCTCCAGGCGACCTTCCAGGACGGCATCCTGCAGTCCAATCTGTTGTTGGTGCTGAGAGCTGCCGCGTGAGGACCGACCCATGGCTGACCCTCCAGCGGGTTTTCAGAGGCTGTACACTGCACAGAAGGAGACTGCCCGTCCTTGTCCTGTAGAACCACCTGCCTCTGGGTTATCAGAGCAACTCCTTACCCACGACTGAATATAAGGGAGAAATCTAATGGGGAAGGAATTTGGCAGAAACTGAGCAATAAAGTGTGGTGACAGGCCAGTGTCCTCACTGAGAGATGAGTGCATGTGGGGTCAAAATACCACAAGAAGGTTCTAGAAATGCATCCATACCTAGAATGGAGCCTCCTTCTTTTATGAAGCCAGAACACCCTCAACCACAATGGTGGTGACGTTGCTAACAGAGCTGCAGACAGGAAGGAGGTGTGTGTGGCCCTGAGCCCATGCCGGGCCCCCTGTCCTTGAGGCCCAGGTCCAGGCCGGGACAGGGGCTGTGTGGGCCTGGGGAGGGCCCAGCAGGCGTGGGGGTGGCCCTGCTCCTGCAGCACCTTCCTCCCGCCTCTCGGTCACTGCTCTCCGTTACTCTGAAAGCAGAGTGCTGATTCACCGACTTGATGGAGAAGGGAGTGCAGGATGCTGTCAGAAGCCGGTCATCTGTGACAGCAAGGCCGTCAGCGGACCACAGCGGGCAGACAGCTGGGCTTTTAAGAGCCCCTTGTTTTGAAGGCCTCATCCACGCCCGTCTCCCCATCTCTCGCCTGGCTCTGCGTCGCTGCCATGGGCACTGGGCTGGCACAAAGAGGCCGACGCCGGAGCGAAGCCTCCTGATGGGAGAAGGTTCAATTGGCCCCCGTCTGTGGACAACAGTCCATTATCACGACATTGTTTATGAAGGCAAAGATGCCCCCCTACTGTGCACATAACGCTACGGCCGGCGCTGTATAAATATTTGATGTCTAGCCCCTGGCAGAAGGCCGCCTTAACGGCCCACACTTGGCCTTCACGAGGAGGATGCAGGGAGAGAGGACCTGCCGGGTTATTCCGCAAGGTCAATCGGACGAGGCCATGTGGTTCCCCGTGGTCTCTAAGACAGGAGGGTGGATGGCCAGGCTCCCCCCACCCCAGATGGCCGCTCTTCTCCTGAGTCTAGTGTGAGACACACGCACCAGGGTGAGCGGGCAAAAGCCTGGGTTACCTTTGTAAGGTCTGACGAGAGGGGTTACCGTCGCCCTCCTCACAGAGCAGGTTGGCCTAGGCTGGCACAACCAACTTCCTGGGCTCTCCTACTCCGTGTTCACGGTGTCACTTCCACTCCAGAGACGGCACAAGCCAACAGCAAAGCCGTGACTGCAGGCTTTGTGCTGCATGTCCTTCCAGGACAAATGCCGTCAGTGCTCAGCGGATCCCAGGGGACGCTGCCTGGTGCTCACGATGCGGCTGGCCCACTGCAGTCACAGGACCCACAGCCAAGGCCCTCCTGGGCCCCTCTGGCCCCACTGCGCTTCAGCACTGCCCACTGAGGCTGTGAAGCACCTGGTGATGATGATGGTACCTCTTCATCGGGGTTCGCGTGAAAGCTCTGGTCCCAGCTAACTGAGGAGATGGCTGCAGCCCACACCTGCCTGCTTCCTTCCCCGCAGCTCTACACGGTATCAACCCCTCCAGGCAGGTGCAAGAGAGGTGCCGGAAGCGAAATCATTTGTCCACAGTTAGGATGCAAAGGCCAAGGTAGAACTAGAGCACGGCCTGTCTGCCTCCAAAGCCCACATGCTCTTACAATAATAATGAGGCATTAACCAAGGTCATCAACGATGTCTGGGCTGTAGTGCTGGCGAAGAGTACTGAACACCCCGTGGACGGCCAAAGAACAGATAGATGTGTCTCAGAGAAAGTGGGGCCAGAAAGCACGTTGGAGCCAAGGACGGTGCAGCTTCAGCTCACAGCCCGGGCATGTTGCTAGAAGGGGCCAGGCCTTGTAGAGGGTCATCAGGCTGGGGAAGGGCCGTGAAAGAGAGGAAGATTTTCTATGAGACTGACTGACACAGTGGCCGCAGCAATGGGCGCGTGTGTGTCGGAGATGGTGGGATGGCACAGGACAGGACAGGACAGGGTTCAGGTGTGTGGTTCATAGGGTCACTGTGAATCGTACATGACTCTCTGGCACCTTGCGACAACAGCGACAACGAAATCGTGAAAAAACCTGCTCGTCGCGTGCTCATCGCGTGCTCGGGAGTTTCTGGTGATGAGTGACCCCCACAGAGAGGATTCCCCTCCCAGCGGAGAGGTCTACGGGCCGAGACGTATCTCACCGAGCTAACCACCTACGTCTTCTCTCATTCAGTCAGCAGTCACGGCCCAGCACACTGCAGAATGTCTGCGGCCGTGATGTCACTGCGGCTAGGTGCTGTGAAGTGGACAGTGACCCGCGGAGATCCTGTGCGCAACAGCCGTGAGCCCTGCGCCGCGTCACCCTCACCGTCCAGGCTGTGCCCCTGCCCACTGTCACAGGCGCTGGATGTGAGATACTGGTACGTAGACGGGGGCTTGTCTGTAAAGCTGAGTGTTAACCACGCTGTATTATGCATCAAGGCTTCCACCCCTGAAGGCACACGCAGAGTCCAGCCGAGTGTGCACGTCTTTTATAATGCGATTTGCTGCTGCCACAGGCTGCAAACAGGGGCCCCAACCCCATTCCTGCCTCCACTAATTCTGAAAGAGGAAACCACCGGACAAATAGGCGCGGGGCTGTGAGTGCCCCCGTACCAGGTTCTGTGGGGATCCACACGTGGGGGTCACGTCTAAGTCAGGAACCCTGCAGACTGACAGACCTCAGGAGTGACATACCAGCAAGTCAGCCCCCTCCCCAAATCACCTCCCAGTAAGTTAGCCCCCTCCCCAAATCACCTCCCAGCCCCCTCCCCAAATCACCTCCCAGCCCCTTCCCCAAATCACCTCCCAGTAAGTCAGCCCCCTTCCCAAATCACCTCCCAGCCCCTCCCC